AACCTTTTTCATCTTCCTTAAAAGCTGGGATGGAAATAAAGGTAAGAGGTGTTTCAGGGAACAACTTCACTTTGGTTAATGTTCTTAGTCAAACTCAAAGGGCATGGCTAATGTGGACAGGCTTGGGGATGAGATGAAAAGAGAAAACATAAGATGAGAGGAAAGCAACCAGACCAAGTGATGGATGGAGCCCTGGCTGTGACCTGTAGTGCTTGTTCCCTCTGCAATACCAAGCAACAAAGGAGCCTTTGGAGCATCTCTTTGTCTGCCTTGGAGTCAAACTCCTCAGGAATAAAGAGAGAACAGACCGGTGGCTGGCAAGAAGAAAAGATTAAAGTTAGAGAAAATACATAGTCTAAAAGAAAATGGTACCAACACAACTGAAGGAGTGTGTGTGTGTGTGTGTACATTCATGCATGTGTGTGTAAGTGGTCGTGTGTGTGCTTGGATATGAAAACATGCCTGTGTGAACCTGTTCGTGTATGTATGTGTACACAGAGAGAACCACATTCCACAGAGGAAGATATTCATAGATCTTACTACAGGCCAGATTCTTTTCCATGGGTTTAATCCATAGCAATCCTGAGAGACGGACTATTGCATCCCTATTTTCAAGACAAGTAATATGAGGTACAGAAAAGACAATGACAAAGCAGTTAGTAAGTGTACTAAGGTGTGAGACTTACACCCGGCATCTCACAAGTGTTCATTTCTTAATCCCAGTATATCACGGGTTGCATATCAAGCATGTGTCTCTTTCTCTTTGAAGGCTCCCATATTATTAGCAAAATAGCTATGGTTTACCTTGACATGCCAGGAATAAGTGCAAAGAGGCTGGGTATGGCGGCTCATGCCTGAAATCCCAACATTTGGAAATAGAAGTAGAAAGATTAGGAGTTTTAGGTTATCGTTGGCTATATAACATGTTCAAGACCAACCTGGGATAGATAGACTCCAGTCTCAATAAGAACACACAAGAGAATTGTGTGACAGCACATCATAAAAGCATTATTAATAATGGAAAATCCTGCACAAAACTACTTTTAGACATATACTGTATAACTACCCACATAGGGCAGAGAGAGAGAGACACAAAGAGAGAGAGAGAGAGACAGAAAGACAGAGAGAGACATACATAGAGACAGAGAGACAGAGACAAAGACAGAGTTGTGTGATGTGATTTCTGGCTTGGATTTGGATCCCATGTACAAGTAACTATTCAAAAACACTAAAGTCTGCACTCTGTGTTTTGGATAAGAGACAGGAAACTTGTATCTCATAAAGTATCTGTGGGACTGCTTAAGGGTATTCTGGTTCATGGCTGATCATGTGTCTAGAACCCTGAGACTCTACATGAGAACTGGCAGGAGTTCGGCACGCCCCCAGAACACCAGATCCATCTACCATCCGCCATGACAATAAACCTTTTTGGAACCAAGGACTTCCTCGTGTCACTGGGGCCTGCCGCTGCCAACACCTCCAGCCGCTGGAACCTTAGACCTTCTGCCGCGCAGCGTGGAAAGCCTCCGGGCCTCTACCACCACCGCAGCGGCCTATAATTTTTCCCACAAGTATCCAAAAGAAAGGATTCTTGGGAAGTGGATAGCACAAGAGAAGTCAAGGAAGGCAGTGTAGCAAAATGATCCCACTTAAGGACAACAGAGCCATGAAAACAAGTGAAAAAACAGGCCATATTTGCTGCACAAGAAAGTGATCAGGGATCGGGTTCAGTCATTGATGAGAAGACTGACCAATGAGCACGTGGTCCAGATCATAGCTGCTGTACTAGACACATCAAAACTGAAAGTATGGTACTGTCTACGAATAGTGTTCATAGCTTTACACAGGATCACCTACATTGGAATAACAAGATGAGAAAAACAGTACAGCATCCATCCCCAGACACTAAGGCCTATTATAATGCATCTTCCTTCCAGTCAGTGGTTTGTGAGAATTAGAATCTTTTCCCATTATGAACTAAAAATATTACATTAATCTCATATACTTTATTCATTAAATTCTTCTTAGTAAAAGACCTTCTAAAAGATACTTAAAGAATGATCTGGCTTCCTAAGGAGTCAGATATTAACTAGAAAGGATCATTTTAATTACCTAAAAGTAGTCAATCAGCCATGCACTGAAAAGACTTCAAACTGATTTAATGCATTAAAATAACTAATAAAATTGTTATAAAGTCTTTTATAAATTTAAAGTGTCAGATAAATGGCCTGTAATCAGAATAATCGTTATCCTATAAAGTAATTTAATAGCCACAAAGTGACCATAATGAAGCTCTATCATTTTATCCTCAGGACTGAGGACAGAGATGCTATCTGTAGATAAAACTATAAAATGAAGAGAAATTGGTGCCACTGGGCTCCCTCTCTTTAGAAGGTGACAATTTTTAAAGGACCTCTAAGCCCAAAGTCCAAACAAAACAAAGTAAGTAACATTCAAGCAAAATCAAGAAGATGGTCTGGAGTTTAATATATGCTGTGTGTATTTGTGTACACATGCCTGCATGTGCATACACACACATATGAGCATACAGAGACCAGAGGACATTGTTGGGTGTCTTACTTAAACATCAACGACCTTACTTTTTGAGACAGTGTCTCTCCGCTAAACATGGAGCTTAGTAATGCATGTGGACTGGCTGGCCAGTGCGGCCCTGGGATCCACCTATTGCTGCCTTCCCAGTACTGACATGACAGCACACCTTGCAACAGTTTTTTACATGGACACACAGAATCCAAATTCAGGGCCTCACACCTCCACAGCAAGTATCTTTTAAGTAATGAAAAAAGGGTATGATTTTGACCAATAACTCTATATAAATACTCAACAATCATTAGGAAATATTCAACCAATAGTTTACAGGCACTTTTTAAAAATATAAATTAGGTCTGGCAGATGTATACTTTTTTTTCTCCTAATTTTTGTTTCTTAGTTTTCACTATTACACAAAATAATGTAAATGTAAAAAAATAACACTGGACATGAGGTGGGAGTTTGGTGGTTTGTTTGATGTTTTAGGTAGTTTTTTTTTTCATTTAAAACTCAAAATTTGTATCTTGAGGAAATCAGGAAAAAAAAGTATGGTCAAAAATGTTAAATATGGATTAAATTGCTCATCTCTCTCTTTTAAGAAGCAGGACGCTGCAGTGTCTAGTGAATTAAGCACTGGAAAATGTCAAGAGCATCGAAAACGAACCCCGGGTAGATCTTAATGGCTTCCCTGGTTTCTCCAGCTATGAAAATCAGGACCCTCATGCTGCTGTTTGTGTTAGATAATTAACAGCTGCAAAGCATACTGAAAGGAGAAACTGCTAAATAAATAACGACTCCACGGAATCCCAACCATAATGTGCTAAACAAGAACAAGGAAACACGGGCTTCTAAAGGCACTGATTCTGTTTTGCAGCTAATACAAAGCGAACACCAGTCTCATTACTGTAGCTCAGTAGATGTAGAGAGAAGTGAAGTACAAAAGGTCACCGGGGTGACCTCATGACTCCAAAAGCAACAGCAACTGATCTGAGTCTACAAGTAGCAACCAAACCAGAGGTGCCTCCTTTGTAAGTGCACAAGTGTAACCAATTTGCCTATAACTTTGTTTTGAAGTAAGTAGAAGCCGCTTGCTAGGAATCCATAAGGCAAAACCATTCTCAGAATCACTTAACTTCAGATGGATTTTGACACCTGACCTACAGCAATGTTTACATTATTATCTGAAAATTAATGCCATGATGACATGTAAGATGTCTCCAATCTACTTGACTATGTTTATGAGACTACGAACTAATCTGAGAACCTGCCATATAACGTTCAGACTTGCGTGCACAGAAAATAAGGATCACATGATATTAGTGCCTTTCTTCTACATGTTCTTTTTCACCAGTGTGCTGGTTTGAAGGAGAATGCCCCTCATAACCTCATGGCCCCTAGATGGTGGAACTGTTTGGAAAGGATTAGGAGGTGTGGCCTTGGTGGAGGAAGTGGGTCACTGGGAGCAAGTTTTGAGGTTTTAAAAGACTGTTGATCTTCCCAGTGTTCCCTCGTGGTTGTGAGTCAAGATGTGAAGTCTCTGCTGATTCTGCTGCTGCCTTAGCGCCCCAATCATGGACTCTAACCCTCTGAAATCAATCTAATGCTTTCTCTTTATAAGTTGCCTTGGTCATGGTGTTTTATCACAGTAATAGAAAAGTAACTGAGATACTGACAGGCACATCCCATAAGATATCAACTACGCACATACCCAGAAATCTAGACGTTATTGTAGCTTCATCAAGTCTTACATTTTATGTATGCATCAAATAATTGAATTCTATCATCATGTTATGAAAAGATGGGAAAAAACCTTTCAGACAAGCTATTTTAATTATTTCTAAATCAAAATGCAACACATGAAAAACACAATGTTCTACCTAAATCTAAAATGTTTTAGTCACAAAATACATTACTCTGAGTTTTCTGTATATCCTAAAATAAACTGTATCCGTAAAGAACTGTCTCAACATCATTGAAGGAAAAGAAAAAAGCTTAAATGTATTTGGAGAGAGAAGCCATTCCCCTGTTGGTATTTTGAGGAAAAATAAAACATCTACAGAAGAAACCAAAGTGAAGGGTATGCCTACATTAAAATGCAAATATATCATTTTGTTCTCATAATGACCAAGACCTCAAATACCATTTTTAGTGACTCATATTAATTTAATTGCAACATTAGCTTTTATAATCATAGATGTAAAAAGACCAGTGTGTTCCAAACATAATTATCTCGCCAGCATCTCATTTCATGAAATTATTAGTTAAGATGAGCGCCTTGGAATGAATTTGTATTTGATTAGTTTCACTTATTTAAGAACACTGAATAATTTAAGATCTGTTTAAATAGAAGGGTAACAAGGGGGGCATTTATGAGAGTGCTGAATTCTCCTCTACGCCACCCTCTGGAGAGGACCCCCAAGTTCTCCTGAACAGCAGCTGATTGTACATACCTTCTAAATGGAGCCATAACATCCGCCCTTTCACATTGACCACAGTGGCCACGCACACCTCTCCTGGATTCCTGGGGTTCACAGCTTCAAGCTTCATGTTCTTTGAGAAGCTCCGAGTAAATGTCTGGTAGAGAAAGAGAGGTGGGTCTGAGCCAGCAATTCCCAGCAAAGGATAGTAGGTGACTCCAGAGCTGCCAACAGGGAGAGTGGACACAGAGCTGACCAGCAAGAGAGTGGACACAACAGCATCTTATTTCTGAGACAAGCAGACTCATTTACAGGCTTACTTTCCTCACGGCTCAAGAGCAAAGTGCCCTTCATTCTTGTTTGCTTATGTCGGGAATCCTATCCATGCTTAATGCACAGTGGTTACTGAGACTTTTCATTAAGCAAATGAGGGTATGAACACAGTCTTTTTCTAATACCACATGAACCTCCATTCTATGGAATTTCTAACATACACTATTTCTCGACTCTTCTATATTCCCTGCTAAAATCATACCTAGGGTGTTAAACAAGGCAGATGGAATATCCATCTGGTGTCATTTTCTTTTAAAGGACATTTAAAGAATGCCCTTTAGCTTAGAGCATGGGTCTGTTGGTGATACATTCCTTAGTTTCCATTTATCTGAAATTGTTGTTATTTTCTTAATACTTTTCTCTTTAATTTTCTAATTAACATTTTTTATACAGTAGGAGCTGGAAAATACAGAAAAATGAAATACTAGCCATGTAATCTAGAGGATCTGAGTTCAATCCCTGAATTTACTTAAAAAAAAAAATGCAGGTGGTAAGCAGTTTTTACTGGCAACCCCAGCACTGCTGAGGGATATAGGCATACCCTTGGGGCTTGCTAGCCAGTCAGCCTAGCCTACATGAGGAGCTTGAGACCAGCAAAGGCTTTCTGTTTAAAAAAACAAAACACAAAAAACAAAACAAAAAAAACGTGGACCACATCTGAGGAATATATGTGTGTGTGTATATGTGTATACACACACATACACACACACACACACACATT